TTTTAAACCAAATATTTGGGAGGAGTTTTGAATATCATAGTATGTTTCCTTAACAACTTCCCACACATCCCTTGCGGAAGGCAAAAACATGTAAGACTTACCTATTCCAGTTTCCATGAAGCTTACCAGCCACACAATAATCAAAGAGTTTTCAGATTTCCATTGTTTGTAACGAGGATCTCCTGATGCCGGTTCAACTACTGCTTCTGTTAAGAAACCAAGTTTCCCTTTGCTATCCAACACCAACGGAACGGTTTGAGCACATTAATTATAGTTATTCCCATTCAGTTTAGGGATATTGACCTTGAGGGAGTATAAGGAACTCTCTTGATCATTACCGCCTATGTTGAAATAACTATCACCAAAGACAATATTCCTGTTTCCATTGTTGTTGTTATTACTACCAAAAACAATGTTAATGTCTTCATTGTTGCCGTCATTATTGCCACTGTTTATGACCACTGATGGTTCCTCTCGTTCGTCATCTCTGCGACCACCGTCGTTTCCGCGGCCACCTCCGTTGTTGCGGCCACCGCCGTTGTTATTCGTCATAAGAGGTTAAACGGGTATGTGAATCAGATCGGATAAAAAAGCGGGTCGATACCATATTGAAAGAAATAGATAAAAGCTATTGTGTCTTAAGTCGGGTCAACATGAAGGATGTAATTTATTTGTCCCTAATCGTTTTTTTCAAATAGAATTTTAATATTTATAAAGCTAATGCATGCTTTAAATTTTGAATTTAAAAGTTATTGTGTGAAATATGGTCCAAAATGCCCTTTTAAATAGTTTGATTAATTGAGTTAAAAAAATAATTAAAATCATAAATGATTAATTAAATTGATAATGAAATAATATTGAATAATAAAATAACTAAGTCGGCATTGACAACTCATTAAATATAAATATTTTGTCACAATCATCATTGCTACATAATGATGTAAAGTTCAATACCAAAAAGTTGGTTTTTATAATGGAGAGACTAAAAGTTAAAAATTATCAAAATAAGAGATCAAAAATGCATTAAAATCATTATATTAAAGCTTTTTTTTAACTATATTAAATTCAGAAATATAACAATAATTATTTTGGATTTGGATCTTCTCCTTTTTTATATATCATATCATCTCTAATGCTTCTAATTTAACGGTTCAGAATTTATAATAAATAATTAAATAAAAAAATCATTTAATAGGAGAGAGAAATAGATAAGTAATTTGTCTTTGTTATTTTTAGAATTTCCTTCATTATAAATTCTGAACCGTTAGATTAAAAACATGAGAGATGACATGATATATAAAAAAAGAGAGGATACAAATCCAATTATTTTAATTCTGAACCGTTAGATTAGAAACATGAGAGATGACATGATATATAAAAAAGGAGAGGATACAAATCCAATTATTTTATTCATGACAATTATGAAGATTATCCTACAATCATATTTAATGGAATATATTTATTTATAATTATTGCAAGTATATAAAATAAGAAAACATTAAATCCAATAAATTATGGTAACAATTATATAGTAACATTTATTATACTAAAATATTTTATAACTATTGTACCAAAATAAATTCAAATACATGTACATAATAAATGCAAGAAAATAAATTTAACATTTATATAATCAAAATTAATGGAATAATATATTTTATATTTATTGTAGATATATTAAGTTATTATTTTTCCATATAATTCTGAAAAAAATCATGTTAACTACTATTGCACAATTACATTTATTACATTATTGCATGTAAATACATTTTGCACTAATATGAAATTAAAATATACACTGTTACTCCATCCGTTTTGTTATATCGTTTAAAAAAAATTGTATCGCAATATAAGTCACTTTATATTAGTAATGAATAATTAATATTATTTTTTCTATTATATTCTTAAAAGTTTATTATTATCTCTCCTTTCAATTATATAAATTTACCTTCTCCATGTCATTATTAAAGGAAAACTTTGTAAAAACATTCATAATTTTTCATTTTTATACAATAACTATTATTTTTCTTAATACATGTGAAAAATTCACAACGATTTATAATAAAAAACGGAGATAAGAATATAAAATTAAAAGATACAATATATGCACATAAATGTTCCAAATCATTGTAATAATGGTACAATGAAATAAAATATTTTATAATGATGGCTTTCAATTCACAATTTAATACAATTTAACACAATTTAATATAATTTAATATAATTTAATACAATTTAATATATTTTTGATATTAATAAGATCAAATGATATTATATAGTAAAAATTAATATATATTACTAATAATATATTTTTTTTAAAATTTAATTATAAATATTAACAACTTATTTACATTAATAATAATCACTATTTACCAAATATCTACATTGCAAAATAAAAGATATTAATTTCAATACATCTTATTGATATATTAGATGATTTTAGATTAATAATAAATTATAGACTAAATTACAGTTTTGGTTCTCCAATTTTACTTGATTCAATAAATTAATCTCTCTATATTAAGTTTAAATAGTTTTGGATCCCTATCATGTTTTTTTATTTATAAAATATTGATGAGAGATTATTTTTAATTTATATTTTTATTTAAAAAGGTTCACTATAGATTTATATGCGATAGTTTATCATGTTTTACGAACAAATTTTCGTTAAAAATAAAAACATCTTAATTATAAGTGCAAAAGTATGAGAGAGGAAACAAAATATTTAAATTTCAAATATTGAAATCAATTTTATAAGAGACTATTATTTAATGAGAGACTATTATTTAAATTTTTAGGTTAGGAGTACATTATATTTATTTAATGAGAGACTATTATTTTTAATTATTCTATATAAGAAAATCAATATAATTTTATAAAATTTGCTATTTATAAATCATAAATATTGGGGGTTATGTTGATTTCTTAGTTTAAATCTCCACTGGTTTATTAATTTTTAATTTATAATTGAAATTAAGTTTTTGTCTTTTTAAAGATTAGCTGTATATTTATTTACACATGTACAACCAAATCACTATATCTATTTGATACCTTTTGAAATATATTTCAATAAATATCTATTTGACATGATTTGATTGGATCTATGTATTCAATTTATAAGAATCAAATCCTTTTTCAATTTGTTACAATAAAATAATATTAAATTTTTGTATTTTACTAATTATTCACTTATTTTACTAAATCAAACAAATCCTAAATTATTAGGATTATATAATATAAAAATTGATTTGCTTATCAATGATTGAAAAAAAGTCACTCATAATATAATAAGATCAATAAAATATACATACCTTATATATTCTATATGATAACTCTTATGAATTGGGCTTAACTTTGGCCCAAACCCAATATCTCATCGGTTATATAAGTCTTACATCGTCACTTCTTAAAAGTTATTATCATCTAAAATCACATACAAATTCGAAACTGTTTGAAGATATATCCACATCTCGCGGCGCATCATTTCAAATATCAATTTCAAGAGCTTTTCTTTCAAAGTACATTCTCCTCGCGCCGCATCATTCGAAGGTACATCCGCATTGCGCCACATCATTTCAAATATCAATTTCAAGAGTTTTTCTTTCGTTAATCCTCACTCTACTTTCATTGTGGTAAGTTTTTAAATTTTTTTGACATTTCGATTTCATTTATATTGTTTATCGAGCAAACCCTCGTTGCGTCAAGTTTGTAATTTTTTTTTAACCTTTCAATTTAACTTATGTTGTTTATGGGGCAAACCCTCCTTGCGACAAGTTTCTAACTTTTTTGACATTTCAATTTCACTTTTGTTCATCAATCAAATCCTGAATATTTATGTATATTTTGTTCATCAAACAAATCCTATGTATGATTTTTATCAAACAAACCCTAAAATTTAGGCATATTCTAAAACAAATCCACTTATATTATTTACTTAATCCTAAAATATTTATTATCAATACTTGATTCACCAAATGTCAATAAGAAAATGATAAATTTAATTTATGTTCTACATGAAATCTAATCCAAATAAAGTATTTCGACATTCTTTAATAAAAACTTACTTGTATTTGATCTAATTCTAGATTTATTTTTCAAAATGAATTTAAATAGATTTTTATTATTCCATTTATTTTAAATATAAGCGATATTTTAAAATATTAATTTTTAATATATTATATGTTACTTTATTATTTTATATAAAAATTTTTATCTCTAAATCAACAAAACTAAAAGAATGTTCATCCTACAACATCTTACTATTCAGCCCTACATATCATATAAGTAATTTAAAAATTTCAAAAGACAATGTCCGATGTATGTGTAAAATGTGCATCACTACTAATTTATATACAAAAAGTCAATTTGAAATATTAGAATAAGTAAAATTTTAATAATCTAATCTAACTCTAAATAACTTAATTTAATTAAGTAAAAAAGCACTTTGATATAATAAATGCTTCTCAAAACCATCCATACAATATATAAGAATATTCTGTTTTTGTGGTTTTTTTTCCTACCATTTTTATCCTTGCTTAATAATTTTTTATTATTAATTTTCATGGAGTTTCTTATTATTAATATTTGAGTAATGTTAACTTGTACCCTTAGAACACATGTTAAGAGCTAAATGCTAAATTAAGAAATATCATCTTGGAAATTGTGTACAAACTTAATTTTTATATAACTTCTTATTATTAACTTTCATATATTGTATTTTTTAAAAAATTATTTAAATAAAAAATATCATTATATTTTTATTCATGCGCATTAAAAAACGAATAGTGGATGCTAGTGATAATATAAAGAATCCAATCAAACAAACCTAAAGCCAGCGTCATACTTCCCTTCCATTTCACCAATCACACGCAAAATCTTTTCAACATTTTCCTCAACTCAGAGGAATCGTTCCATCTTCCACACGCCAATTCACGTTTCATTATTCAAATATTATTTTCATTTAATTTCTATTTCTAACCTTTTGAATCTTCAGAACATTCATGGATCTTCCCGTGAAAGAAGAAGCATTGGAAATTCCAATTCCAACTGAACCGGACCGGAAGACAAGACGAAAACCCGGTTCGCATGTTCCTCCTCCTCCCGACTCGGTCATTGACCTCAGTAGCAGTAGCAGCGATTCCGACTCCGATTCTGATTCCGTCGGGGATTTGGAAACGGTTGTCGCCAGTGCGGTGCAATCGGTGGAAAGTCCGTCCAAGAAAAGAAAGGTTAATGATAAGGTAGCGATTTTGCCGGCGGGATTTCTTAGTCCGTTACCGCCTGCGCCGTCGCAGAATGCTATTCTGTCTTTGCCGGCGCCGGAGTGGGCTTCTACGTCGAACAGGTTTAATAGGAATGTTAGTTATACGCTTAAGGGATGTAAGCAGTTTTGGAAAGCCGGAGATTATGAAGGTTCTCCTGGTCGTGGCTTTGAATCTTCTTCTGGTGCGTTTTCTTTAGCTTTCCTTTTAGGGTTTTTGTTACTATTTTTGAAATTTTGTTGAATCTGTCTGAATTTTTTTTATCACATTGTATTTTCCTTGGGTTATTATAGAAAATTAGATTTAGTTTCATATGTGACACAGCCAAACAGATCCTTAGCATGCATGTTAGAGATTATTTTACTGAGACTTTGGAGAAGGGAAATTATGCATTTATCTTTAATGACATTGTTTCAAATGCATGTTATGATGGAGTTCACTTTGTATGGGGTTACATGCATGGAGTTTTCATTTAAAGACTATGTAGCACCGACACCTCTGAAAAAAGGCATGTCCGTGTTTGTGTTGGTATCAGACACCTGCACCGGCGCTTTGATTATGTTTCATAGTTTAAAGAAGCACTGTTGTTCTGCGATACATAATTTAGTAAAGAGTAGTGGAATATGTTGTTTTTTGGTTCATAAGTATGGTTTTGGTTTAGGGAGGAATTATCTGCTTGTAATAACTAGGTTTCCACATTGTTTTTTGCAAGTAATAAAAGCTGTTACAGGTCACATTTGTGAAATTCAGAATGAAAACAGGTGTAGAATTTTAAACAGGGTTTCTTGCCCTATGTTAATAAAATGTGGTAAAAAAGCAGATCCATGACAAAATTGAAAAGATACAGGATGGAAGTTAATTCTCGGACCATCCTTTAATGGTAAGGTATAGTCATAGAAAAGTATAGGGCATCCCCACATTGTTGGAGTGGAATTCTGCCATCCATTAAAACCCCAGCAGCCTCACCCTCTCTTTGCACCTCACCTTAACAGTGTTATCTAATTGTCTCTCCATGGCCGCCGCTATGGCGGATATACATGGCGGTTTATGGGCTTGCCGCTATGGCGGATATACATGGCGGTTTATGGGCTTGCTGCTATGGCGGATATACATGGCGGTTTATGGGCTTGCCGCTATGGTCAATATCAGCCGTTATTGAGGGTTTTCCCACCATAATCCGCAATAATGGCACTGCAAAGTGACCTGTATGTCGAGATTTTGACTCTCCGCCATTGACAACACTGCACCTTAGTGCTCTTTAAACATTACTCTTAGCATTCTTAGTATTTTCTGTTATCTCCTACTTCTGTTGATATTCTTGGGTCTTTGTATTGTTACCTTCTCAGGCATTTTAGGTTTCCCCAAGCACCTTTTCCACATTTATTTACAAGTTAAAACATGCATGGCCCTAACTTTTGTTGTTATGGCATTATACCTTGGATTCATGTTGATTCTGTATTTTAAGTTTTAGGCATTAAGGATGAAAATGCTGATAACTCTGGGTATTTTAAAAACTTTGGAGAATGTATATATTTGCGGTATATAGATTATTTTACCTTGTATCCTACAATATCATTTGTGGGGTAGGCTGCCCTTAGCAGCAGCTAACTGCAACTGGCAGCCCTGCTCTTTTGAGTAACATCTTGGGACTTGGCTGATCCGATCATTCTAATTAGGTAGTTATATTTAGATAGTCATTGATACGTATGTATAACTTGGATCTGGTACTTCAATCATGGTTCAAGTAGAAATGTTATGAACATTTTGTTGTGCTTTGTGCCATGGCCATTAGCAAAATTCACACTTGAGGTTATTTGAGTTAGCCCATGCTCTTTATAATGTGACTATATACTGATATTTAATATAAAATCTGCAGTTGGTATGGATCATGTCAGGGTTCACCCCAAGTTTCTACATTCTAATGCCACAAGTCATAAGTGGGCTCTTGGAGGTAAACTGAGAATATTTGTAATCATTTTCATAATTTAGTGAACTTATATTCCTGGTCCCTTGCCCTTAGAGACTCGTCATAAATTATAAACTGGAATTCGATTGTTTTTCTGCAGCTTTTGCTGAGCTTTTGGACAACGCATTGGATGAGGTATGCCAAGATTCACGTCTTTTAATAAAGCACTGATTCTGATTATATTCGTCCTTTACTTACTTGAATTGAAATTCAGGTTTGTAATGGTGCCACATATGTAAATGTAGATATGATTGAGAGTAAGAAAGATGGCTCAAAGATGTTGCTAGTTGAAGGTATTTTAATTTATCAATCATTTACTTATTGAATATATAAAGAAAAATGGAAAAGGTGGTAGTTAACAGTAGAGGTGGCAATGAAATCCATTTAGATAATATACATCCAATCCATCCATAAGACAAAAAATAATTTAATGGATTTGATCCAATCCATCCACTAACTCATATGGATGGATTCAATCCATTCATCTCATTTTATAAATCCATTGGATATTATGTTGTCACTTATTAAATTAAGAATTTTTAAATTAACTTTTTGGATGGATGGATATCCATCCATTAGAAATATGTTAATGGATGGATTTTATCTTTTAATGGATGGATTGGATTGGATTTTTATTAAGAGAGTTTAGTGGATTGTTAATGGATTAATGGATTGCTTTGATCCATCCATTAACAATCCAATCCATATCCATCCAATGCATCCATTTTGCCATCCCTAGTTAACAACTATACTTAGAATTTGGATTGAGGCCTAACTCAAACCCCACAAAACTAACTTATAAAAGGATAGCTGCTCAAGTTTTTAATTGCACTTCTTAAGCCATATCTTTAAAGAATGAATGAGCATTTAAAGATAAGCTTTGGATAAGATAGAGAATGAGTCTAGAGAGTGAACTAATGCACATGAAGTAACTAAAGTCCCGGCCCATTAATTGATGTGTTAACACAAAAAATAAGCTTTTGATAGGATACCATGATAAAAATCGATGTGTAGATAGAAAGGTTAGAGAAATAATTAGATTTCTGAAATTGTCATATTTTATTTTGAAAGTACAGATGCCATTACTTGTATTTTATATAACCTGCCCAGAATATACTAACACAGCATGCACAGAATATAAAGCTGCAACATAATATCTATCTCTCTATCAATTAACCACTACACCATTTTACCTTTAGAATCACCATTTATAATTTGACATGCTGAGAAAATGTTAAAAACTTTTTTAAATTGCATTTATGAATGCCTTGTACAAATAGTCCTTACAAAATTGTTTTCTGCTCCCTTTGTTTCCTGTTTCTACATTAAAAAATTTCAAAGGTCTGAATGTTTATTCTTTTTTCAGATAACGGCGGTGGGATGGATCCTGATAAAATACGTCAATGCATGTCGCTGGGATATTCCATGAAAAGCAAGATGGCAAATACAATTGGACAATGTAAATCTTTAATATTGTATAGAAGACATTCTTGAGTATTTCATCTAAGAGGGATTACTGATTTTCTTGTTCATGATTTCACGTGATAGATGGAAATGGCTTTAAAACAAGTACCATGAGGCTTGGGGCTGATGTAATTGTGTTCTCCCGTTGTATAGGAAAAGATGGGAAGAGGTTTGTTTGCTTTTTTTATTGCTTCATTCAATTTTGTTCACAAGTTTGAGACGTGTCCCTGCATACAGGGAGAATTAAATTCTGAATTACTCCATCCATCCCAAATTATAAGACGATTTGGGCATTTCACACTAATTAAGAAACTTAATTACTACTTTATGGGAAAGACAAATTAAGTATGACTTTACATTAATGCCCCTCATAACAAGAGAGAGAAATTAAAAGAGTTGAATGAATAAATAATAATAAATACTTGAGGAGGGTATATTGTGGAAAGTGTCATTAATATTGCATTGGAAATATAAAGTGACTTATAATTTGGGACAAATTTTTTTGGCAAAGTGACTTATAATTTGGGACAAATTTTTTTGGCAAAGTGACTTATAATTTGGAACAGAGGGAGTAGTTGTTTAGAATTTTTTTTGTTTTTCTTCTACTAGTAATCAAGGAAACTTATGTTTTAAGTGTTTTGCTTTGTTACTGAGTTAGAGAGTTGGATAGTTACTATGAACATAGTATTCATTTGTGTTTTTAGCATTTGTTTTGCATTAGTTGAAGCAATAAGACAAATCCAAATAAGCCCCACAGATGCAAAATGCCCCCATTGATTATGCCTGTGGATGGATTTGTCTGGATTATGTGTCTACTCTCTACTACTATTATATTCATAATTTATAAGCTTTGTTTTTCATGGCATGCTTCTTTATCTAACTAGGTGACCTGTATATTTTTATTAGGTCTACACAGAGCATAGGCTTGCTGTCTTATACATTTTTGAGGAATACAGGGAAGGAAGACATTGTAGTGCCCATGGTAATTTGTTGTCTTACACAGGTGTACCACTTAGATTGTGTTACATAGCTCCACAAGTTTTTATTGAATAAATGTTATACAAAACTTACTCTTGGATTAAAATTTTATGACATTTAGTAACTTCTATAAACTTTTACCTAAACCTGAAATAATTTGACGTCATGAGACGAACAAGTTAATGTCTTTTAATAAAAATACTTGGGACATTAATTATGTGCTAGACATTCATAGACAGTGTTTTCTTATTAAATTTGATTATTTGAAGTTATATCCTCTTTTATGCATCTAACTGTTGGTTATGCTGAAAATCAAAGCTGGACTATGAAAGAGATGGACAGGGATGGAAAAGGATGTTACGAACTTCTCTGGATGATTGGAAGAATAATGTTGAAACAGTAGTTCAGTGGTCACCATTTTCTGATGAGGCCGACCTTCTTCGTCAGGTAATTGCATCCTATTTAGAGGAGGGGAGTGGGGGATCAATCTTTTCCTTCTATCAGTACTTATTCTCCAATGTTACTATGCCATTAAGTTATATGCTTGTATGTCAGTTAACTGTTGTTCTAACTCTTATCCAATTTTTAGTTCAACCTGTTGAAAGATCAAGGTACACGGGTAATTATATACAATCTCTGGGAGGATGACCAAGGTCAGCTAGAACTTGATTTTGAAGACGATCCACATGTATGTCCAATAACTGAGACACATTTCTTGTTCCCCAAAATACATATTTATAAAACAAATTCCATTACCATATACATTTTTGTTTGTTTTTTTATTTCAGGATATTCAAATAAAAGGTGTAAATCGAGATGAGAAAAACATCAAGATGGCTAAAGATTTTCCGAACTCTACACACTTCTTAACTTATCGACACTCACTGAGGGTAAGTATTATGCAAGCAACTAAAATGCTAATTGTTTAAGAAAAACAATGCATTAAGCTGAATTCCATAGTAATGGCATACGTAAATGTATATTAACTAAAAGCTTTAGAAGTTAAAAATTTGAAAATAGAGAGTTAATTTGACATATTATATAAAGAAAACCCATTGAATTAATAATTTTTAGTCCAATTTCATATTTAGTATAGGTGTGTATTTGACTTGTGCGTCTGTGTGTGTGTATGTGTTATAATGTATCTCATTATTATTATTGTCAATGCAGAGTTATGCTTCAATTTTATATCTGAGGTTTCCTCAAGGCTTCCGAATTATTCTTCGTGGGAAAGATGTTTTGCATCACAATATAGTCAATGATATGATGTATTCTCAGGAGGTCACATACAGGCCTCAATCAGGAGTTGCAGATGGGGTTCTAAAGGATTCAAATGTACTGTCTATTAAATTAAATTTGATGTTTGATTTTCCTAACTGTACAGCAGTATGATTTCATCAATATTTTGTGACAGATGGTTGCTATTGTTACGATTGGGTTTGTCAAGGATGCCAAACATCATATTGATGTTTCAGGGTTTAATGTCTATCACAAGAATCGGCTCATCAAGGTAGAGTTAATTATGATTAACAAAGGATTATGAGCATTATTATCTTCCCTATTAGGTTTTATTCCTTCCTCCCTCCCTTTTAAAGTTAATGCGGTTCAATTGCGTTCCTGTTTATTAAAAGAATAACTTTTTCAGATATTAATCTGCGTGTCTACGTTGATCTAAACTACTATCATACTATGCCATTTGACATTTGAGCACAAGTTTTATATACTTACCTAGTGTAATTATTGTTCTTGCGTGCTAAGAAACCCTAGATAGAAGAAAATAATATAAATTCATAAGCTTTGCTAATCTTAAAAAAAGTTTATTAATCTTTGTCTGTTTCGATCTGTTCCTAAGGTGGTTTTTGTGTCTGTTTTAAACCAACTCTGTGATGACCGACGAGGAATATCTTTGAAATTAAATTAACAGATACTTTTTTGGTTGGAACTTGCATGTAAAGCAAAGGACTTAAGATATCCTTTTTTGTTCAAACAATCAAGGCTTCTTTTGTGCTACTAGAAGAATTATGGTTTTGTTGAGTGAGTTAATTGCAAAAGTTGTTTTATGATTAAACAATCATTGTGTATATCCTCTTTTGATGGGTTCTAGAAATTGAGGGAGTTGGTGTTTTTTTGTTTGTTTCGTGATGGTGCCTTTGTTATTATAATTCATTCTTACTTGTGTTTTTGATGATTTTCAGCCATTCTGGAGGATCTGGAATCCGGCAGGCAGCGGTGGCCGTGGGGTCATAGGTGGCACATTTTCTCTGTTCTTTTCAGACCCTCTTATCATATCGATTCTGCATATTTACTGTATTGGTCATTTGTACTTGCAGGTGTATTGGAAGCCAACTTTGTTGAACCTGCTCATGACAAGCAAGGCTTTGAACGTACATTAGTTTTGTCAAGACTGGAGCAACGGCTGATACAAATGCAGAAAACTTATTGGTGGGTCTTGATTTGTCATTGGGTATTCATGACAATCACCAGCATGATCTATGGATTGTTGTTTTTCTTATATGTTATTTTGTACTTTATCCAGGGGAAGTTTGTTTTTCTTATGTTATTTTGTACTTTATCCAGGGGAAGTAACAGCCATAAAATTGGATATGCTTCAAATCGAGTTAGAAAAGAAAACAATAGTTTTGCTGGTCAAGGTATGTGTTGTAGTGTGATATATATATCGTGTTCGCTTGCTTAGGTCAGGGTGAGTGATATCTTATTACGGGTGACCGTATGGTTTTCAACCAATGTAACTTGTTTTGTAGATACAGCTCCTGATCCTGTTCCAGAATCATCTCAATTGAAAAGGAAATATTCGGCCACAAATGGCAAGGCATCATCACCATTGGCATCAGACGAACTGCATTCATACTCGAAACAGAAACGTCTACGAACAGAATCCAAAAGATACAGTGAATACAGAAATGGTCACTCGGCAGTTTCCCCAATAAGTATGAGTCAAAGTTCATCAGAAGATGCATCATATGCTGATGATACCAGTGATCAAAATGATAATGTCTCATCAAAGAGCCAAGCAAAGACTGATGGTCGAAAGATATCAACTGTTGGAAAATCTGCAGGAAAGGAGAATGTAAGTTTTCAGGATTCTACACCAAGGGGAAACGCCTGGCAGTCTACACAAGGATCTAACCCAAAGGTTGTGCATATTGCCATATACATCCTTGTTTTGTCATCTTTCTTTTTCTGCTAGTATACGTCCATGTTTTGCAATTTGATTAAGGGTGGGTTTGGTAATATATATATCTTCTAAGTAAATGTTCTGCATCTATCTAGACAAATGAATTCAGAAAGAGTGGTCAAGAAAATTAAAACCACAAAGTAAAATCGAGGAGTTTCTAAACATTCAAACCTGAATATCTCAAAATGACTTTTGGTGGAACTAATTTTAAAAAATGCATGATGTTCCTGAGCAACCAATATCTGATTTATCACCTAATCATTTGTTGAATTTCAGGGAAAAGAAGTTAATGTTCCTGAGCAACCAATATCTGATTTATCATCTATAGAACAGTTGAGGAATGAGAATCGTGAGTTGAAAGAGAGGTATTTTGTAATTTTAGAAACTTAACTGCTTATTTTGGTTTGTTTATTTTATTTTATTATGATTTATTCACTCTTATCATCCTTCTCCAATTTAATGTTTCTGGATTCTAGATTAGAGAAGAAAGATGAAGAATCATCAGGCGAATTAGCACAGGCTTTACAGGAGGAGAAAGATATGCGCAAATCTCTCGAAGCTCAGGTATGAGCCATGGCCTTTTATTTTATAGATTATTGTGTTGGAAAAACAGACAGCTGGGTTTGATTCAAATTTTTGGAGGGAAGTAAAATTCCTCCTAAGCTTGAGAAGCATTTTGTTTCCTTTAAGCTCGAGAAGCATGTTAAAGTTACATACAATATGTAAATCTGTCAGTTTACAGTCTCCTTTCATTTTGTATGGTAGATCCATAATGATTAAATTGTGTAATATCTTATGATTAAATTGTGTAATTTCTTATGTGGTCTGATCTCAATTTTGTATGGTAGACACCATATTGATCTCAGTTTCTTGACATAAACCTCTATACTATTTATGCCATCTTACAATGTAGTTTGCAATTTTTATGAACAAATTATGGTTGGAGTGAATAGAAATAATACATAAGAATAAATTGAAACATAATTTGTTGGACATTGAATTTGTTTGTACTTGATGAAATCATCTAACCCCTGAATTTGCTTTTTCCCTGGTTAGTTAGTTTTCACATATATCTTATAATTTATCTTTTTATCAGCTCCGTAATGCCGAACAAAAGATTGAAGATATGAACAAGGAACAAGAAACTCTAATTGATGTGTTCTCTGAAGAGAGAGATAGGCGGAATGCTGAAGAAAAAAATTTGAGAAAGAAGCTTCAGGTTCGACGATCTTATCGATCATATTTAAAGATTTACTTTGTATACATCAATAATCATGATCTTCACAAAATTTGTCTTTCCTTTTAGGAAGCATCAAATACCATCCAAGAGCTGCTGGAGAAAGTTCGATTACTTGAAAGGAAGGCTTCAAGTGGCAAAGTAGTATAAACTGATGAAAGCCATGCTAACTGCATTTGTTTGGCTTCTGAGTGGTGGCGGCATTGGGAGCCTAATTTTTTGGTTTAATTTTTTGGGTAGTTCCTCATTTGAGATGTAGCAGGGTGAGACCATTTAAATATTGTATATATATTCTGACTGGCTTTTTGCTAACACTAACTTTTCTAGCCTAATTGAAAAGTGTTTTGGGTACATACAAATTTATTTATACAATAGTTCCTTCTCCATAACTGTTGAAACTAAAGGCTAAAAATTGAAACATATTTGCCAAATTGAGAAAAAAGTTTGGGAAAGGGTTTATAATCTTTTTATTTGAGAAAATGACGCTTAAGTGAAGAACTAACGATGTGTACTTTTCAACAATGTGAGGAAGTAAATTGTTTTTAAGACTATGTTATATCTTAACACGTTAAATTTAATCTATTGAAATTAACACATGTTCATTTGAGATGTAGGGGGGAACAGGTTTTTCTACCCCGCACTCTGTAGAAGCTATAATTTTTTTGAATATTCATATTTTTTTTTATCATAAAAATAAATAAATAAATAAAATATGTGATAATAATAATAATAA